AACCATCAAAAAAAAATCAGGGAATTTTCAAATATTTCAAGGACTCGCACATGTGAAGCACTACATATATGTTTGGAAAAAAGGGTACTAAAGTGAATATGTATAGTTATTTAAAATATTTAACTTGCAAGTAAATATATTATATTTCAAATAATACAATTACCTGTTGAAATACCATTAAAGTTCTGAAGTTTATTTTTTTTCAAGTTAGAAATATCTATTCAACATGTAAACACTTTATCAGACTGTATTTTTCATTTGACCTTTTACGACTGGTGAGTCGGTCCACATCATAGCTTCCGGACGATAACTAGAGTTTGGAATGAGATATCGTAATCAAACTTGGTATAGAGCAACCTTATGATGATACCCCGGTTGGTATTGCATTTGGGCCCCTCAGGTAAGGTCAAGGTCACACCATTACAAAAAATAGAAAAATGGTTTCCGGACAATAACTAGAGTTAGGAATAAGACATTGCAATCAATATTGATATATAATAGCAACCTTGTATGAAGACGCCAGTTGGTATTGCATTTGGACCCCTCGGGTAAAGGTAAAGGTCACCGCTTCTAAAAATAGAAAAATGGTTTCCGGAAAATAACTTAAGTTAGGAATGAGATATTGTAAACAAACTTGGTGTATACATGTATCAATTTTATATGAAGACCCCGGTGTTAACGCATTTGGACCCCTTGGGTCTATGTTAAAGGTCCTCGTTACTAAAAATAGAAAGCATGATTTCCAGACATTAGCTAGAGATAGGAATGAGATATTGTAATCAATAAATGTGTATATCAAGCTTATATGAATACCCCGGTTGGTTTTACATTTGGACCACATGGGATCAATAAAACAGAGAAAATAAGAATCCCAAAAGAAATCCAACACATGGTCACCGTTACAAAAAAATAGAAAAATATTTTCGGACAATAGCTAGAGTTAGGAATGAGATATTGTAATCAAACTTAGTGTATAGCAAGCTTATATCAATTGAAATAATTCTTTGTACACAATTGATATCAATGTTTCCTTCTGACAACTTTTTTCAAATAGTCTCAGTATCTTGGGGGTATTATTCATCTTTAGTGATAGGTCTAATTATTTTTATCTATATTCAAAGAAGCACTTGAGCCTGAGCCAAACAAGACATTTCGTTTTACTTGTATTTGCGCTTCACTTTCAAATTTTGATGTCATATAACAATGAAATACTTTGTCAACTGGCCTTGGTCTCACAAACAAAAACAATTGTAATACTAAAGGTATCATGGATCATAATTTCGTTACAATTCATTTTAACACTTCATGTAAATATTTTATTGATAGACAATGAATGTCATTATGATTAAGATATAATAATTTAAAGGATTAAAAGTTAACCAAATTGAAATTTGAAAAGGAAGTTTATTTATGAGACCGTTTTGCAGGGCAAATAAATCGATGAACTTGTAATACGCAATCGATTCAGTAAATAAGTGTTTAACTGAAAATAGTTAGAGCTATATCTCAGACGTTTTGACATTTAAACTGCTAGCTTACATCTGAGGAAATGACAAGATTTGATTACAGTACACAGGAAACTCAGATTTATTATTTACTGCGATAGTGATTATACCTTTTCATCATCTACACTATTAGTTTTCAATATTTGTTTATAATCTTCAAACTCGGCAAAATGTCTTCATACTTTACAATAATTTTTGTTACTGCAACATTTGCATAGTGAGGAATCATGGACTTTAGCACTTCAACAGTTTTATCCGACAAGGACCTGTTGATTTTAGTCGAAAACATTTTAATGAGATTGGTGGTTTTATTTTAGTCTGCATAAAATATTCTGTCTTTTGAGTTATCATGATGAGACAAATGAAATATAAGTTTTATTAATGATGTATACGTTTTATCGAAAAGAAATGAATAAACAAGATGTTGGATATCATGTAGAGATCGATCTGGAAATATACTGGATCGCTTTACATTGGAAACCTATGGACTTATTGACATTCTGGTCTGGGACTAGTCTGGCTTGCGCGTCAGGAGTCGTCGGTGTGTTCTACCTTCAAAATGTTCCAGCTTCAAATATGATATGCTAGATGTGATGAAATAATTTTTATACAAAACTTAAGCCGCAAATCACCGATATATGTATTATCAATCTAGCTTTACTGCCTAACATTTGTCTAGTAAATGTACCACACGTAAACTTATTTTACTCCCTAGCACTGATAGGCCTCTGTTTAAATGAATTCATATGACCATCCGATGAATAACTTTTCTTAAATACATTTTACAGTTTAGGCTACGTACAAATGACACTGTTGAATCAAACTTCAGAATTTACAGAGTTCACGATTTCATTAATTTCATTAAAAATCACAAAAAAACCTTTCAATTGTAAAGCGGTATTTACATTTAACATATATTAACATATATTATTATAATATATAAAACCCGCGTGCCAGTAGGATACTATTATAGTATTACCATTGCAATACATATGCCATATGCAAGCAAGTTTTTCCACATCAATCCTGTGGCTACTTGTATACTGCATAACGCAGCTCTCAAATGAACAGGGTAATACAGTATTAATAATTTAAGATAAAATTTATGTATTATATGTTCAAGTAAAGCTAATGTCACAGGAACTGATTTAAGCTATGCATGGTGAAAATTTTGTCATTTGCAATTGAAATTTAGTCTAAATTACCACCTCAAACGTGGTGATGACAATCAGATATCATATTACAAACACTTATTACATGCATATACATGTAATTGTTCAGGAAAATCCGTGAAGAATTTTTTTAGATAAGATATTTAAGATGTTTTTACGTTTATGTATGTATCCTTCCATACTTGAACTTTTAATTTTAATCATTTATAATTTATCTGATATGACAGTGGAGTGGTAAAATATCTGTTTAATTCAATATACATGATAAACATTTTTATACATTATCATTTAACTCATACGTTAAGATTGTTTATCTTGAAGACAAAATTTAAAAGGGATAAATTGAAATGAACAATCATCATATATGAATTTTTACTTTGACAACATGCTTTGTTATTGACAATATTTTGATCATAATGTACAAAACAAATACTTAAGAATTATAATCATTGGATTCTGAAAAAGACAAAATAACGGCCAAAAATTATAAAGAAAGTTATCTTAGACAGAACAATGTTCCTATCTATTAAAAAATGAAACCTTATTTTAACCATGGCAATATACAAATGTATTTGTTTTCATTTCCTTTCAATATCTAATCTTGATGTATATTTTCAACAAGATAGTTTTTGAAATTAAGAAAGTCCATGTTTTTAAAATGCAAATTACTTACTTACAATTATTAGACATGACATCATTGAAGTAGGCGCTAGAGGGTTCTGTGCGCAATCTGTATGTAGACTGATGACAGCTGTTGGCACCACTGGCAGAGACAGGCGCCGAGCAATCCAGAAGCTGAGCCAGGCTGCAGAGCGGGCGTCTAGCTGGCTGTGGATACGACGCGAGGAGACAAGCTGGATGCGATCAACCTCCACACCGTAAGACGGTGGGCCCACCCGCCATCACAGATGTACTTGGATAAGGGCCAAAACATCTGGCGGGAACCAAGCTGACGATGGAGGAAGATCCGCAGTCGAGAACCAGACCTCAGAAAGGTGCGTTTAAGACTGTATTATCCACATTGATCATCTGGTTTACCAGTGACTTCTAGGAAAGACTGGATGGCAACCAGGAATAGATTGGTGACACTGGAGAGACAGTTGACCCCAGGAACAGACTGGAACCGGGGCACTAGGGGTAGCATCCCGACGTGCAGTCTTCGTGAAAAGACACCACAGACAAGCTTACAGACTCCACTAATGAAAGATACCCCCAGAGTCTTCCGAGAGGGGGGGGGGGAGGATGAAAGACTCACATGGACGGATTTTATGGAATCGACACGGCCTGCCCAATCGACTACGAACTCAGCACCAGGGACAGTAACTTGCCCTTGTGGCAAAAGTCTGCAAAAACCAACGAGGGTTACGCATTCACCAGGGGAAGTCTGGTTGCTAGCGCGTGAGGCCACTTGAGCAGCGCATAGCCAGTATGGCTAGTGAGACGCGGGAGTACTCCAGTCAGGAGACTACCCACAGTACTGATGAACTCTCCGCTCAAGAGACAGCGCACGATGCCACCCAGGATCCAATGATGGATGAAGAAGACCCCCTCCTAGAACTACTGAATTACTCGCAGGACACTAGCAGCCAACCACAGGAGCAAGAGGCCGTCCCTGACTAACCACGCCCAATGCCTACCACAAGAAAACCCAAGATCAAGTGGCCCAAGGCATCTGAGAAGGCACCATGGAAACAGTTTGACGAGGACCTAGAAATCATCCTCGAATCATCCATGCAAGGTCCAGTACATCGGAAGTTACACACCTTTTTCACCCTTGTATACTCTGTTGCAAGGGAGAGGTTTGGGATTGAAGAAACAAAGAAACGCAAGGAGGCTCCAAAGCCGAACCGGAGGCAACACCGCATAGAGAACCTGAGGAAAGAAATCAGACAGCTGAAGAAGCAGTACCGAGACAGCTCACCAGTGCAGCGCCTTGGCCTGTCCCAACTACGTGACACACTGCGCACACAGTTGAAGTCTCTGCGGCGAGCTGAGAACACGAGGAGAAAAGCGAGGGAGCGAACAAGAAAGAGAGCTGGTTCACAGCCAACCCATACAAATTTGCGAAGACTCTGCTTGACAAAGAGCGTTCAGGAACATAAGAGACCCCACTTGAAGAGGTTGAGAAGTACCTGCATGATACGCATTCAGATGTCAACAGAGAAGACGCCCTAGGGGACTGTGACCGGATAGATCCTGCCTTACCTCCAGAGACGCCACTGGTAACCACTGAACCCACTTTGGGAGAGGTGAAGGACGTCGTCAAGAAGGGTCGATGGGGCTCTACCCTGGTCCTAACGCCATCCCGTAGAAAGTGTACAAGATGTGCCCACTCCTACTGAAGAGGCTATGGAGACTCCTCAAGGTGGTTTGGAGGAAAGGGGAAGTACCAGAAGCCTGGAAGGAAGCAGAGGGAATATTCACGCCCAAGGAAAGGAACTCCAAGACAGTCAATCAGTTCCGGACCATCTCGCTACTAAATGTCGAGGGGAAGATATTCTTCGCTATCCTGGCCAGAAGACTTACCTCTTTCCTGACGACCAACGCGTACATCGACACTTCAGTCCAGAAGGGTGGAGTACCTTGTTTCTCCGGTTGTGTAAAGCACACCAGCGCTATCACCCAACTAATTCAAGAGGCGAAGACGGGGAAGAAAGACTTGACAGTAGTTTGGCTCGATCTTGCCAACGCAAACGGATCTATTCCCCATCAGCTGATCTACACAGCCCTCAAGCACTACCACGTCGACAACCATGTCCAGAAAATCATCACCAGCTACCTTGACGGCATCAAGCTTCGGTTTTCTATTGGCGACCAGCTGACGAAGTGGCAGAAGTTTGAGAAAGGTATAGTCACCGGATGTACTGTTTCTGTGGTACTCTTCGTCATGGGGATGAATCTGCTCATCAATGCTGCCATTAGAGAGACCCGCGGACCAAAGACAGAGTCAGGTATCTACCTCCCATCAAGCCGAGGTTTTATGGATGACCTCACGTTGACGACACCAACACACGTCCAGGCTAGATGGATGTTGACAGCACTGACAGACGTCGCGTCATGGGCCCGAATGAAATTCAAGGGCGTAAAGTCCAAATCCCTCATTATCAAGAAAGGCAAGACGACAGACAGATTCGTGCTCCGAGTACAGAACGAGGAGATCCCATCCATCACGAAGAACCCAATCAAGTGCCTTGGGAAGTGGTTTGATGCCAGCCTAGTAGACAAGGACAACGTCAAGAAGCTAGAGAACCAGGTAGAAGAGGGGCTGAAGAAGATAGACCGGAACAACCTACCTGGGAAGTTCAAGGCCTGGCTGTACCAGCATGCCTTACTACCAAGGCTGATCTGGCCAATGATGCTGTACGAGGTACCCAGCTCAACAATACAAGCCTTAGAGAGAATCACCAGCCGACATCTTCGCAAGTGGCTTGGAATCCCACCCAGTTTCTCCAGTGTTGGACTGTATGGGAAAACCAACAAACTGCAACTCCCACTATCTTCACTGGTAGAAGATTTCAAGAAGACAAGACTGGTGCTTACCCTAAGTGACTCCCCAGATGAGCAGATCCGGGAAGCAGGGATCGTTACCCGTACTGGAAGAAAGTGGTCAGCGACAGAGACTGTCAGCCAGGCGAAGAGCTCTCTCATGCACAAGGACATCGTCGGTGTAACGGCTGTCGGACGACAAGGTATTGGTGCAACCAAAACACTCCTATGGAGCCAAGCCAACCAGACTGAGAGGCGAGCCCTGATACAGTCAGAAGTACGGAAGGAAGAGGAGAACAAGAGACAGGCCAGAGCGGTAGAGATGGGTGCGCAGGGTACATGGACAACGTGGGAAACCATGGAAAGGAAGCTGACCTGAGAAGACATCTGGAAGTATGAACCACTTCGTCTATCCTTCCTCCTCAGGTCAGTTCATGACCTCCTGCCATCTCCAGCTAACCTCTGCCGATGGGGACTAATCACAGACCCAACATGCAGTCTGTGCAAGAAACCAGGCACTCTGGAACGTGTTTTATCGTCCTGCTCCACAGCACTGACGCAGGGCAGATATCGCTGGCGACACGACAACATCCTCAGAGAGGTTGCCGATCGGCTGGAAGGGGAGAAGAAGAAGCCACGCAGAAGTAACTCACAGGCAGGCCACATCAACTTTGTGAGACCGGGTGAAACTGCGAAGACAGAAGCTCCACAGAAGAAATCGATCCTTGACGGCGCCACAGGATGGAATATGTCAGTCGATCTAGGAAAGAAGCTTGTGTTCCCGGGTATCGTCCAGACCAACTTGAGACCAGACATTGTACTGTGGTCCGAGACAGGGAAGAAGCTCGTTGTCATCGAGTTGACAGTACCTTTGGAGACGAGATGTGAAGAGGCCTATGAGAGGAAGAAGGCCAAGAACACTAAACTACTTGAGCAGTGCCGACACCGATGTTGGCGGACTTGGCTATTCCCCATCGAAGTAGGCGCTAGAGGGTTCTGTGCGCAATCTGTATGTAGACTGATGACAGCTGTTGGCACCACTGGCAGAGACATGCGCCGGGCAATCCAGAAGCTGGGCCAGGCTGCAGAGCGGGCGTCTAGCTGGCTGTGGCTACGACGCGAGGAGACAAGCTGGATGCGATCAACCTCCACACCGTAAGACGGTGGGCCCACCCGCCATCACAGATGTACTTGGATAAGGGCCGAAACATCTGGCGGGCACCAAGCTGACGATGGAGGAAGATCCGCAGTCGAGAACCAGACCTCAGAAAGGTGCGTTTAAGACTGTATTATCCACATTGTGGTTGGCGTGAGTAAAATTTCGACTTCGTTCGTAATTTTAACCTAAAGCACGTGGTTATTGGGAAGATTTGACAAAAGTATATTATGAATGGTTCTTAAACCTTGAACAATATCCATAACGCGAGGGCTTACATACCAAAATATTCGTTATCACAGTTGATTTAAGATAACAAAGAAGCGTTATGATTGACGTTTGAAACAATCGTTACTTAACAAGTATTTGACTGATTTTGTATATTAAAAAAGGAGAGTGTTTTTTATTAAACGAAGGAGTGCTTTAGCGAGTGGGACGTAAATAAGCCTTAAGTTTATAAATAATCTAGTTAACTTTCCTTAATGCAACACACTTACGATTTAAAAGATACATAGCAAAATGCGCAAAGCAGAAACATATGAACCTGTAGTAAATTTTGATCGTACAGGCAGAGAAATTAACATCATATCATTGAAAGATTACCGGAATATAACGATAACTTTGGGTCGTCAAACTGGAGTTCTGGATAGATTGAGAATGGTAAGGATTTCACTGATACATCGTCAATTTTAATTTTAATCAAACTTGATCTCAATACAGTTTGATTATGATAACATAACTTAGGGATAGAGCTTTGAGTTTATTTACTATGACAGTTCAATTTAGTATCTAAAGTGAGTCATGTTAAACATTTTAACAATTAAGCCATGACTCTGGACCTGGAGTTAAATGTCCAAATTTCTACAGTCGTTTAGGATATTGGTGTCTTTCATGTTGTTTTTTTTCATTATTTGAATCAAGCCATATTCTGTTGAAAACATACTTTATTTATCCAATATCGATTTTTGAAATGTCTGTAGTGAATTTCGGGAACATTATGATTAAATTCAAATTTGATCAACAATGTACAAATCATGTTTATTTACAGGCATGTTATCATTTGCGTTTTTATTGGGTTGGATAAATTACTTTTAGGCAGAACTAAAATGGTAGTAATAGCTTTACTCAGATTTACTGATATTGTTGTATGAAATTTCAGTTTTTGCCTCCACCTAACTTACCGGGAGTGAATGGCTGTGAATGGCACAATGCTACGAATTACAGAAGCCAAAGGTTTCGAGCATAAGTTCCTGGACAGACGCACATGGTATCTTCTTATAGAGAGGATCGATACGGAAATACATTTTAAATAATACATATAACTTCTGAGCTATTTTTGTGACACTTACGGCTTGTTCTATCACTTTTAATATCAATAATAACAAGTTTATTGTAATGTTAAAAAAAATCTTTAGAAACAGTTAACGTAGCTTCAAACATTAGACAATATCATAATTCTATCATGCTTTAGCTACAAACCGGTAACAAACATATCTTTAAAGATAAACCTTGGAAACGATCCCACAAAATGTGGCTAGTCATTTAGCTTGTTTCATCTAATTGGTTTTTTTTTCTTTTTTTTCGGCTGTATCAACAGATCGGTTGAATTACAAGGCACTTTAAATTTTCCTCAGGAGTCTACAAGACTTTGATAACAATTTTAAAAGAGTATTTACATAATTCGTTATTCGTGATACTTGTACCAAATTTCTTCATACATCCTATACTACCACTTTAATAGCATATCTACAAAGATTTACATTGCGTGCTGGACGCAGAAAAATAGATAATTTGACAGCTTTCTCAATTGAAAAAAAATGTTTCATTCACAATGAATCTTTCGTAACCAAACATAGCTACGTGGTCGTGTTTAAAAGTCATTGACGAGCAGATAATTAATTTTTCATATGTCGCGTGCAGAAAGATTATGACTGTGATAATGTGTTTTTTACAAGATTTTGTATGGCATGTTATTCAATTTTCGTATCAGATTACATTTATTTTGAATGTACCGGTTACCTTTAACCTCAAACTGCAAAATTTAAGCATTGTTGAGTTTATCTTATCATTATTTATCAGTTATGACTGATTACGAGGAAACTTTTACTATGCAAATGTACATGTATATTAGTTCCCTATATATAATTCGTTTACTCTTACGTTCAATTTTGTTTGACCTTATTAGTATAAAATCGAGAAAAATAAATAGTTAGATCTATATTGATATAAAGAAGTAAGAAAAATATTTTCATAAAATTTTCATTTTTCTTTGACAGCAAGTTTTCACATACACTAACCGCTGGCTGTTTCACTTTTTGGTGATATGTTTAAATGATCCATTGTTGAGCCCTCAGCCAAAACAAAGCTCAATAGATTATACAGTTTCTAAAATTATCCATTTTAAAAAAAATCGAAGAATGCTGTGGCGCATAGGACATTTTTTATCATTTTGTAATGCAATTTCGATACGACATACTCCAAGATGGCGTTGTTTGAACTGTACCAAATATTAAGTTGCGTGCTTTCATTCATGAGCATTTACATAATTAGTGATTTCTTTACAATTAAGTAAATGTTTGTCCACGAAAATGATCATAACCTCCCCCCTAAACACAAAAAAAGTTCCCAGGCCTTGGTTTGAATTAATAAACTATATATTCAAGTATGATTTAGCCATTTGAAAGAGCCCTCGAAAATACGAATTTCAAGGTTATTCGACTAAATTTCAAAACCAACATTTCTGAAAACTTAAACCAGATTAACAATTCAGGGATTTAAAGGACATCCTGTTAGAATGTGGAAAGCTATTAGCGAGTTTTCTTTCTAACTATAACATTTAGGTAATTTATGACACACATAATTTTTGTTATAGATGTTATAATCTTTCCGCACACTTGTACATGTACCTGCAACTGACAGTGTTTTGATTGGGCAATTATTTTGAACGAAGGAGTGGCGTAAGACCTGTCAATATTAATTCCGAATCTATTGCGGAGGTAACACAAGATATTTATGTAGGATACGATAACAGTAGAAGATAATAGTTTTACAATTAGATCTCAGATGTTGAATTTGAATCCAAAAATGAACAAAACCAACTGTCTAAGTAAAAAAGTCTTTTTTTTGTATGATATTATTTATGTGAGTAACATATAAAAAATATGGTAATCGTAACGTATGTAAATATATTGTTGTCAGTTATGAAACTGGTCTAAATATCATGTAGTGGTTTAGCATCTATTATTGTCTATGTGTCTTTTGTGATACGGTTAAACAAAAGATCATAATGACGAATATACAGATTTTATGTTACTTACTGGTGACAAGCAAAGTTCAAAACAATTGATCCCTGAAAGGAATCATTATCTTTATTTGGCGCAACATTTCATGTGCCGTTTAGTGTTACATTGATATGAAATAACGATTACAGCAAACAATAGTTAAGTTTCTAGCATTTTAGCATACACAACTTAATGAAAACTTGGAGTAATAAATTGTTTGTAAAAATATATATCTTTAGCAGGAAGACTAATGTTACAAGCATCTGGTCTGAAGCATGTCTTCGCGATTGTACTCAAATTTCCAATGTTATCGATTTTACATTTAAAACAGACATATCGGGGTTCAGATTTGTCCATGTCATCCATCATATGATATTCTTGATAATGCCGTGCATATGTTTAAAGTCTGGTTCATCCAGATTGGGAAAATTAATGTATCCTTCGCCATGGCCATTGAAATGCTATACATTGCGGGAAGTGTCTTTAAAACGCCACAGATTTAATTATGATGCACGATAAATTAAAACAAAAACTTTTCTATAGACTAGAACCATTAAACATTTAATATACAATTATTGACTAGTGAGCCATTGAATATGATGTGACATATTGACCGAGGCGATAGCCGAGGTCAATATGACTTTCTGCCGGTGAATATCACATCATATTCAATGGCTCACTAGTCAATAATTGCTTTATTATATGAATAGGCTAAGAAACAAAAAAAATCATAAAAAGTACAATCTTAATTACATGTACAAATTTTGCCTCGTTGAAGCGCGAGAAAAAAGACGCACGTGTTATGCGTGCAACGACTTCGCGAACGCTGCGCATACGAAAGTAATTCAAGTTTATACACAACATTGCGGTGTAGCCTTTAATTAAAATGGTAATGTATTGATATTTTAATCGAGAAATATGCCATAAAGAACAAAAAGCAACAATTATTTTTTAAGTAACACGCGTATTTAACAGTCTACGGTGTATGGTCATTGAATATGAGTCTCAATCTATTTTTAGACTGGGAAAATCCAATTCAGCCAGTGAATATGATACTACACCCAGTAAATATGATTTTATAAAAAGTTCTGTTGACTACTGGACCAATGAGATTGCAGATATATTTAGATCATATAATAATGCATTTTATTACTAAATCTCGAACAATTAATACATAACGCAATATTTATACTGTCTGTATTCATAGCTTTAACTTAAAACCGATTCTTTGTCTGCCATTTTATCAATTGTATGTCAATGATCAACAATTAGCAATCTTAGTCTCTAACTCAAATTGCGGAAAACAAACTTCAATTTACAATTCATGAAATTGTTAGATGATCATTCATTAAGTTTTGTCCCGCTTCTGAATATTGGGCTTAAACAAAAAACGAAAGTTAGCACTGACATCAGAGACATAGATAACAGAGATAGGCTACTTCCTAGCCAGTTAAAATATCACGCGTGCCTACTAAACCAAAAACTTGTAGCAAGTAAAACTTTTTAACCAGATATCAAAATCGGTAAAATAATACATTTTCTGAAAGCTTATGCATTTGTCTATGGCTGCAGGTAAAAATATTTACAGTTCCCATTTAAATAAACGTTGTATCGTTTTTTAAAGAGAACTACTTAATATTTTTTGTTGCAAAACTATTCATATGATAAAAAACTGGCTCAGTGGGTATGTTCTGCCATGTTTTTCTGTGTGAAGGGCATGGA